GTGAGCCTCCTGTTTTCAGCCTCCCCAGTGCTGGGATTACAGGCATGCACTACCACACCCATGTCAATGGCTCAGTGTACCCTAGGGGCAGGGCCAGATGACATGGGGGACTGGGGATCAAACCCGGGTCCCTGAGCTTGCCAAAGCAGGTGCGTAGTCTGCTGAGCTACCTCGCTGGCCTGGGATCACTAACTAGCAACTAATTTTACTATTATTGTGACTAGCAACTAATTTTATTTTCCTCTGAGCTCAGTTTCCTACCCACTCCAACCTTCTTGTGTTCTCTACTCTGAACAAGCTCTTCGGTGAAAATCAGTGTACAAACAGGCACATTTTTCTGAAGCTAATGCTACTGTATGGCTCACATGTCCACAATGGAACATGCTGAATACACCTCTGCATACAAGTAAGGTACAGGGGGCCGGGGAGACGGCTCAGTGGAATAAGTGCTTCCCTGGCAAGTGCAAGGGCCTGAGTTCAATCCCCAGTTCTGCCAAAAAAAAAAAGAAAAAAAAAAAGAAAAAGAAAGAAAGAAAGAAAGAAAAAGAAAACTTCACAAGAAAGGTATAGGTACAAGAAAGCAAAGGGGAACTTTCTAAAAAATCTTCCCTCAGGATACACTGTGGGGGAAAACATTTCTGAAAAGTTAAGTGAGGTATGTTAATTTTCTAAGTGCTGATCTCTGATCCTGATGTCATTTTTCACAACAAATGCATAATAAATGTCATCAAAATAAATACAAGAAACATTAAGACAAATTCAGAGAAGATGGGCCCCAGAGTACTATATTAGAGAGCTTTTACAATCTGCCTTTTTTCAAAGTTCTTATGCACGTGACCCAATTATTTAAAATTATCTTTCCGAGGTGTACTAACAGTGTTTGGATAGAATATCCTGTCTGCTTCTTGTACTATGGATAACCGCTAGGCAGATAACAATGTACAGTGTATTGACTATCAAAACTGTTCTATTAATCAGCTGTGAAACTGTCTCATTCATATTTATTTCTCAATAAAAAATATATAAAATAAAATAAAATTATCTTTCATAGTTTTCCAGCAAGTTCTAGTATTATCTGTAAAAATTTTTCCTATTTTTTGATAATGAAACCATAAGACATTAATCTTCATTACTGAGTCTTCACATCAGTTAACTAATATTTTTCAGAAACACTGAGTATCTTTAGCTGAGTATTTTCTTATTGTTAAATACTTCTTAAAACAAAGCCAGTAAAGGCCTAACTGTCACGATAGCTCTAACCGCCCTATGAATACTTCCCAAATCACACTCCTACAATATTCTAAATTATGTTCTAAATATATCTCAAATTGCACTCTAAAATATCTCAAATGATTAAAATATTCCAGAACTGTATTTTTTTTAAATTTTGTGTGTGAGGGGGGGCAGCTCAGCCCACCAGGGGGCGAGGCTGGCTGGCCTGTGGTGCTGGGGGATTGAACCGCGGTCCCTGTGCTTTGCTAAGCTTGTTCTAAGTAGGTGCTTTAGACTACTGAGCCATCTCATCAGCCCCATGTATTCTTAACATATTCCTAATCACACAATGACTTTAAATCATAAGCATTTAATTTAAAAAAATTAGTCATAGTATCTAGAATTTATTCTTAAATGACCAAACTATCAACAACAAAGTTCTTAGACTTTGTAGTAAAAACACTAATAATAGGGCTGGGGAGATAGCTCAGTAGAATAAGGGCTTGCCTGGCAAGTTCAAGTTCTTGAGTTCAATCCCCAGTATCGCAAAAAAAAAAACAAAAAAAAACCACTAATAATAAATACATTTTACCTTCTGAAAATCTCTTCAGTGCTGAATAATCTAAAAACAATAAAAGTCAAGAGCCTTACCATTCTGGGCAATCCTATCCATGTAGAGAAAATACCTTTTCTTAAAACATTCTGGAAAAGCAATGTGGTTTATTCCAAATTCAAAACACCACTTAAGTGGATGCCACTAACTGCATATAAAGGATTAGGGAGAAAATATTTATTCCAATAAACTAAATGCCTACTGTATTGCTAGAAAATGTTTTGGGAATTATAAAGAAAAGCGAGGCGATCTGCTGTGGTGCTTCTGGTCTCCTCAAGGAGAGGCATACACAGATGTGACACCTTGGGGAACGTTCAGTGACCACAACGCAGGAATCCGAAAGGAAAGAGTTGAAAGCCCGAAGAACAGCTGATTCTGAGAACTCGGGGAGCCTTTATATAAAAAGTGTCATTTGAGCTATATAAATTAACTGGAGCAAGTGAAGGTGATAAGTTCTGCCAAGTTTAAAAAAAAAAGTTCAAGAAAGCATGGAAGCGAAAATGGCAGTCTCTGTAAGAGAACAAAGAATCATGTGGTGGAGCTTAAGGCACACAAAGGGGAGCAGCCAAGCCAAAGCCTCCTTAATTTCAGAGGAGAAAATCACCCGTCCCGATCTCCATAATCAGTAGTTAGAACTTCCTTAGTTGGGTATTGAATTGCTGTCCCTTGCAGTCTTTTATCAAAGGCAGCGCCAGGAAAGGAGAAGTACTTTAGTTAGCCAGTGGGTGGGGGGCAGACAGAAAGATTCCGGGCGGAGGAAACAGCGGCTCGCACTTCTACCTGCAGCCCTCCCCACCACATACACAAACAGCTGCAGCAAGTGCCAAGCACTCGTAGTATTTCATTTAATCTTAGCAAAATTTTCATAGATCAGAATGCAGTAGCTCAACAATACGTAGTAATCCAGGGGAAAAACATGACTGATGGAAATTTACTCAGGTGTGGGGACTTGGAGGGCCGACATACTGGAGGTCAGCAGGGTGAGAAGAGTCTAGCTTCCTGGCCGGGTAGAAATGTAGTAGAAAGGACTGACATAAACCCCTGCTTAGAAAAGACCAAAAATTAGGTATGATGAAAATTTAGACATGAAGAAAATGCAACGAAGAAAAAGTCGTAACTGAGACTTAAGGGGAGGGGTGAAGAAAAAATTAAATCAAGAAAGTGAAGAAGCTATGAGAAAGCTTATACTGAAGAAGACACCCAAGCATCCCCATTACAAGACCGCTGTTAGCGTGGAGGTCCAGAGGACAGGCAGCCTGACTGTAGACGGCGCATCCTCTGGCGGAGGCCAGTGTGCACCAAGTCGAAGGGGTGAGGGCTAAGTCGGAAAGCAAAACCATGACCCCCAAACCAAAGTCACTGAAATGCAGGGGGGTAAAACCAGAGCTTGACGGACAGCAGACAGGAAAGATGGCAATATACAGAGATCTCTTCCAAGAAGTTTAGGGTACTACCTGAAGCATCAGGAAAGAACTAGGAAGATGATTTTTTTCTTTTAACTTACTTGAAATTCATGGAAACAAAGAGTAGTCTTTATGACTCTCAATCAAATACATTATCATTATTATCTAAATCCCAGCAGTAGCCCTCTGCCAAGAATTAAGGTGACAGTCATGATCTCTAACTCCTCAGATGCTTTTCTCACATAAAATCCAAGGCAAATGTGGGTTCAGGGAGGGCATTCCTAAGTTTCAACTCCACAAATAAAAGTTTAATGCATGATCTCTAAAACTACTTTCACATATAAATGGCAAAATGCAGTTTACATAAATTTAATGAGTATTAATACATGATACCATGTATTATTTGCTACAACTGAATTGCTTATTCAGTTGTAGCAAATAATTATTGTCACCTATGTTCATAATTTGTAGTTATTTTATTTTGCAAATCTTATATTTTAGGTTAGTTTGAGTTTTCTAAAAAAGAAAAGGATTATAGAAATGTAATACCCAAGTCATCTTCCACGCATACATACATACACTACCCTAAGCTCTGAACAGCTTCAATCTGTAACACATACTCCTGCTAACAACGGGCAGTTGAGCGCCAAAGGTGGACAAGATGGAGTATAAAGCTCACGTAACTTTCCACTCCAGAAGGAAATGGAAAATTACATTTGGCTTTGTTCCATTTTTCCACTTTTTATGCAGGTTTTTAAACTACCCGTCTCCTAAATTAATTTTAAAACTACCCATCACCTAAGTTAATTTTCACTCTTTGCTAGATTAAAGTTTGAGTTTTACATTTCTATTCACTTCATCCTCACTTTTAAAATAAGCAAGTTGAACTGATAAGGTAAAAAAAAAAAAAATCACAAGAAATCTATGTTTTCATAAGTAAGTGAATATTACATTTTAGAAGTGGTAACTTTTACAAATCAAAGAATCAGCTTAAGGTAAAAAGAGTAACAGGGCAGGGATGCTATGGTTTATAGCTAAACCATCCCCCCAAATCTTGCATGTGGAGGCTTTGGGAAGATGACTGGATCATAAACTACTACAGTCAACCGTGGGTTGATCCATCAAGGACTGCACAGCTGCGCACACCGTCAGCAAGTGGGGTCTGCCCGAGGGGGTGCTGACCCCGGCGGGTGTGACCCAGAGGGTGTATTACTGTCCAGGCTTCCACCTCTCTCTACTTCTTGGCTGCTGCAGGCTGAGAAACGCTCATCTGCAACACTGTCTCCACCTTGGCAACACACTGCCACGGACCAAACCCTCTGACACTACGCGCGAAACCTCGCCTTTAAAATACCATTAGAGGTGTGAATGCTCGGTGCTTTGTCCCACTGAAGCAAAGTGACTAATATAAAAGGGGAAGCTTGCCTTGTGTTCAGACCGCTGACTTACAAAATCCAATCATTATTTAGAACACGTCTAGAAAAGGCTTACTTTGAATAACTTAATAAATCAGAAATAAGTTCAAATTCTAAGAGTCACTTGGGTTGGTGGAATTAATTCATTTGGCCTTGATGTTAAAACATTGATAAAAATATTTTAATGCTCATTTAGCGTTTTACTTTTAAAAACATATATAACTGGCCGGCCCTCAGAAATAACTGAATGGTGAGTGAAGTTATTTTGCCACAGAAAAATAACACCAAGAGATCTACTACATAGGGTTCGAATGATAAAAGAAAAGAAGGTCCAAGTAGCTCCCTTTGCCAACATACCTGCCATGAACAGTGGTGGACTTGATGATGTCACCAGGCAAAACCACTGTAAGCTCAATGTCTTTATCAGTTACGTTTTCCTTCTGTTCCATGATGAAAGAAGAGGCTTCTACAGAATCATCAACTGAAGAGACATCCACATATCTTGTCTCAGCCGGAGGAAGTGGAGCCTTGGCTTTTGTTTTTCTCCTAAAATGAAAATAAAATGTAGAAAATGGAAATTTTTTCCTAAGTATAATTTTATGAAAACCCCAAATATACATCGTTTTCTCCTTGGGTACCAGTGTCTACTCCCGGCACTTACTGTTCCCCTCACTCTGAGACAGATCTCATTAAGTTACCCAGGGTGGGATCGGACTTGCAAAGCTCTCACTTCAGCAGTCCAAAAGGTGGGATCACAGAGGGCACACTCTGAACCCTCCACGAATGAGGAACAAGTGCCTCGGGGTGGCTCTTTCCCACTGTACCTCACATTGAACAGTGAACTGTGGCTGGCTATTTGATACAGTGTGCATCTGTTTCAATGAAAATTCTCACAATTATTCTAAGAAATATTTTTTCAGTGTCACTTACTAAACCAACCCATTAACTAATAACACTAACAACAGATATCCTGGGGCGGAGGAGACTTATGAGGGCCAATTCAGTGATGCAAAGGTTGAAAAATGAAGTGTGAAAAAAGTAATTAAGACTAATAACACATTTGTTTCTAATTAAATACTAAAAATTAAAACTTTTGAAAATGTTGCTTAAACAAAGGCTAACTGCTTTAAGAAAAATGAATATTTCCCTTCCCTCTTAGAAATATAGATATTAATTTCTTCTTGCTAGGGGAAAAAAATAACCAAACAAGAGCCACATATTTGGCATTTTCAAAATTTATGATCTCACAAACCCAAGCATCCCCGTACTCTAGTCATCTTGAAGAGAAACATTTTACATTAACTTATTAAGGCCTTAATTTCAGAATTATAATAAGACATACTAGACTGCAGTATTTTTACAACTGTACAAAGAAAATGTTAAATGCTATTATAGTGAATATATAAGAAGTTCATGAAAATCTATGTGAAGAAAACTGTTACCCAATTTCAAATTTTAGTTTTCAGACTCCAGATATCACGGACTCATGCATGAGAATTTATCCTGTAGAAATTATTGAAGCAGACTGTGCTTACATGCTAGAGACACAGAGATGAGTGAAGCAGGTCTTCGCCCTACAGCATTCACGATGCAATGGAATGGAATGGAATGGAATGACAGACATGTACAGAATGACAGTAAAGTTTGATGACTATCTAAAATAGGAATAAAAGTGGTAGAGCTGATCACAGATGAGACCCTAACTCTCTTAAGAATCTACAAATGATTTACAGATGGGAAGCAGGAACTGGGCTTGGTGGAGTCAACTGAAACACACCAGAAAAGACCAGAAATAACTGGTAGTTCAGGTCAAGGAAAGCAAATGAAGTCTTATAAGAAAATGGTACTTTTTAGAGTTGAGCAGAGAAGTTATGCAGATGGGAAACTGCTCATCAACAGAAAAACTTTTTGTAACTGAGAAGACAGGGAAACACCTTGCTACCAAGAAGCCATAAAGTCCCTAGCTTACACATGCGCACGCGCACACACACACACACACACACACACACGATATACAGTATGAAAGCATGAGGAAAGAAAAAGTCACCATGCAGCAGTAACAAATGAATTTTAAAAGAGCCTCCAAGTCTCACCTCAACAAATGAAATGTTTTTCAGTTGCCTGAAGCCACAAGTCCTTTTTCTCACCTACCTCCTCCAATCCCTGGAAGTCTGTCAGGTCAACAGTACCCACCTCAAATATCTCCCTGTATTTTACACACACAGTTTTTTTTTTTTTAATGGTCCAGATCAAATTGAAATTCTCAGATAGCTTCCTTGTTTGATGCACACTGCAATATTACCTCTAGCTCACGGGTGTGATGCTCTTTGTATGTGTTGCTGTCTTTAAGTCCTAAAATACTGTGGGTCTATAATGCAAATTCATCTATATTTATATCTATCATAGTAATTGATACACTGCATCAGCTTGAGGAGTCTACAAGCTTCACTAAGTGCCTCAGCAGGGAGCCAGCATCCTCGCTTTGCAGGCATCCTCATCCTGCTTGAGAGAAGGGCATGGAGATGGTGGGAGCACACACCGCCCCTCTGGGACATGACGGCCTGCCTACAATTTAGGGGAGGAAAAGAGGCTTGCTCCCTGGCTCTTCAGGCTCTTGTTGCTCTTCTGTCTTCTGCAGCCTTGAACTGCTGCCCCTGTGCTGTGCCACCCTGCCTTGGAGCCGGCTGATCACAGACTGAAACCTCCACACACCATCAGCTAAATAATCCTTTCCTTCAATAATTTTGAGTATTGGGTACCTGTCTCCAAAGCGAGAGAAAAGTAACCAAGACATAATCGCTAATTATTAGCAATATTATTAAAAAAAAAAGAGCAGAACAGAGCACTGGCTGAAATATTATTTACATAGAACTTCTATTGAAGTTAATAATAGGCCTGTTACTACTTTAATAAGACATTTTCATGCCTGTGGTTCTGAAAAACCCAAAGTACCCGTGAGTGAGGCCAAGGTCCTTTCACCATGAACTAGCAATCCAAGAGAAGACACAAAAGATACAGAGCAAACAGGCAGCACCAAGCAACAGAGGAGTGATCCTGAAGACCCTGCAGCAGTGCAGCCCAAACTGCCCGGCTGGGACGGGAAGGCAGGGATCAGGAAAGCTCTGCAGAAGACAGCAGCGTGATTCCGTTCTTAAAGAAAACCACAGCTGAGACAGCTAAAGTCTAAAGGTCAGTTACATGTTGATTCCCAATAGTGACCCATTCACATCAGACTCGGGAATGTTTTCCTGATTTATTTACTAACACAAACCAATCCAGAGAAAAGAACAGCCAGTAGAGGTCTGGATTTGACCTGAATCCAAGCAGCTTTAAGATTTAACTCATGTGACCTTATATTCATCAACAATTAAAAAAAAATACCTTTTTTTTTTTTTTTAACCTAGTTACATCTCCTAGTTTTCCTAACTTTTTTGGTAGATCTCTGAAGCAATAAAAAAAAAAAAAATTTAAATTAAATGTCACCCAGGGCCAGGGAGATAGCTCAGCAGTCTAAGTGCCTGCCTGGCAAGCATAAGGAGCTAGGTTCAATCTACAGCACTGCATCCCATGTGGGCCCCGGAACCCTGGGTGTGCTGATCCAGCGACTGAAACCAGGCGTGGTGGCTCATGCCTGTAATCCCAGCACTGGGAAGGCTGAAAACAGGAGGGTCACTATGAGTCCGAGCTGTATAGTGAGACCCCGTACTAAGTACATAAATAAATCTTAAAAAAAAAAAGTCACCCAAATCTAAGACTATGGTGAAGATAATCAAATCTAGATGGATTACCTAAATATCAATGTAACAAATTACTTCATGTTTAGATTTAAGTATAGAAAATTCTGGTAATGCGGGAGGCATTATCAGCCAATAATGGCCATTTTACCAATAACCATGAGCTATGAATGCTAGCTATCAATAATATTTTAAAGCTACCATTACTACCAAGGGTGCTTTGCTTCTTGAAAACAGGAATATTTATGTCACTCTTCCTACCCCAGGTATTCTGCTTCACTACTAGTTGAGTATGACTACCAATATCTATCATTTAGAGACTGTCCATGTGGAGAGAAAGTTACACTGAAAAGACATTTGACACAGTACTTTTCATCAAGTGAAGGGCAAAGTTAATCCTGAGTACTGCATAAGCAAAGTAGTGCATGATGTATTAAAATTATCTCCATATTACACTTCATTTTTTATAATGCAAATGAAGGTATCATTTAACATATGCAATTAATTAATTTGGTACAGGGTCTCACTATGCAGTTTACACTTGCAGTGATCCTTCTGTCTCAGCCTCCCCAGTGCTGGGATTACAGGTGCCCCTGGGGTTCCGGGGCCGAGACAGCATGCAGTACTGGAGACTGAATTCGGGTCCGCAAGCTCGCCAGGTGGGCACTTAGGCCACTGAGCTATCTCCCCAGCCCTACAATATATTTAAATATAACAAAACCTCATTTTAATTCAGCAGTTAATAGATGTCCATTTGTACTGCTGATTTTTTATCATTTTACTTGACATAGAATTTCAAAATCTTGTGGCCATCATTTCAAACTCCTTTACTGTCAATATTCATATCCTTACAACAGATGGATAAAAGAAGTTCAGCACAAGAATGGAATTTTAATTAAATAGTTTTCATGGGTTAAAGACAAAAACCCTAAAATGTTATACGAGGCACAGTTATACCCTTTGTAAGATGCTTACGCCCAAAGAGGCTTCGTCTGTTTGCTTTAGTTAGAACATTTTATATACTGAAAGTACTACACAAAAATATAGCTTCATTATTAAAGACAAATATATAAAAATTAAATTATATCTTAAAGAAATACCCTTTGAAGTATTATAATCTAATAACCAAAAAGAAATTTACAACCAGAGGAATATACCAAATTTAAGAAACACTGTAGTCTGTGTTCATAAGGAAGTCTTCCAAAGTAACTGCAGTCTTCTCACAGTCCCTAGATTTGCATCTCAATAGTAAGATGGAGACCATTTTCTTAAATTTTGCCAGTTCATCTGTAGGTAATCAAACTAGAGACTTAGGTAGATAAGATTCGCTCCAAGGTGGGAATAATGCTCTGCTTTTGAGGAAATCCAGTTCACAATAAAACTCTCTCTGCTTGCTAAGTCTAACTTCAAATCCAGTGAGTACGTCAAAAGTGGTTTCAAAAGTATGTCGCAAAGGAAAACAAAAGAGCCACGACACAGTCTGACTCTCTCGGTCAACATTGCTCTTGTCAAGGTTACTAATGACCTACATGGATCCAAATGAAACAAAATTATCTTTGCTATCTTGGTCACATTAAGCTCCATTTCACAATTGTGCAAACCCACTGCTCTGGACTTTTTCTTGTTTTTGGGTGGTGGTGGTGGTGGTGGTAGTGTGTGCATGTGCGTGTGTGTGCATGTGCGTGTGCATGGGAGTGTTCTTTCATCTCCTCTGCAGGACTTTGCAACACCGAGGCTCCGTCGGATCCATTCTGTGCCCTTTCCTGGTCTCATCCCACAGCCCCCTCCCCAGATGATTCAATCACGCCACAA